ATCTAATTTGCCTACTTTAATGATGAGGAAGAAATTTGCAAATTTCCAATTTGCACACTTTCAAGAAACATCGTGCAAAATTAGATTTCGCTCCTAAACGTTCCTCTATGAGGAAGCAATGTGCAAATTTTTTTACCTTTACTATTAAATACCAACACTTTAGTTTTTGCTGTACTTAATTCTAGTTTCCTTTCTTTTAAAAATCTTTTTAACATGCTCATCATATCTAGTAAAGCCTCTCTATTTTTCGCTACCAAAACCATATCATCCGCGTATGCTAATGACCACACTCTCCCTCCTCCCAGCTCTACTCCTCCTATGCCGCGCTTTTCGAAAGCTTTATCGATGTCCGCTATGTATAAATTGAACAGGGTGGGACTCATCACACAGCCCTGCCTTACACCTTTCTTCGTCTTGAAGCCTCTTGTGAACCCCTCCTTCGTTCTTATTGTCACCTCCGTCTCTTTGTAAATTTCTTTTATCCTGTTTATTAGACTGCGTTCCACTCCTTTCTCTTCCATTATCTTCCATAAACTTCCTCTGTCAACGTTGTCGAACGCTGCCCTAAGATCCACAAATATTGCGAAGATCTTGTCTTTCCCAATTGCCATACCTTTCTCCTTCTCCCTTTGCACTATATGGTTCAAGATAAATATGTTGTCCATCGTAGACCTCCCTTTCCTAAAGCCGGCTTGGCTGTCGGGTATCATTCCTTTCCTCTCCACTACTTCCTCCAATCTGTTCTTTAGAATTTCCGCATATACCTTGTATGCCGTGCACAGCAGAGAGATCCCTCGATAGTTGTCTGTTCTCTCTTTATCCCCCCTTTTATATAAGGGGACAACTGTACTTGTTCTCCATTCGGTCGGAATTTTATCTTCCTTCCAAATGAGCTTCAACAGCTCCGTTAAACCTTTTCCTATTGCTGCGCCACCATACCGCCATGCTTCCATTGGGATTCCATCGACACCCGTAGCTTTACCTAACTTCATGTTCTTGACAGCCCTCACTATCTCCTCCTCTTGCAACCCCCTTTCTATATCTTGAACCTGTTCCTCCTTTCTTTCTTTTGTTTCCCTGTCATTCACCTCCAACGTCTCTTCCCTTACTTCCATCTCGGTCCCACCTAACAACTCCATGAAGTAACTTCTCCAGTTCTCTTTCGAAATATTATTCTCTTTCCATTCTTTCTTCCTTCTTCGGCTGTTTATGTAGTTCCAAATTTTCTTTTCGTCCTTCAGTTTTCTTAGTTCCTCTTCTTCCCTCTCTCTCTTCTCCCTCCTTTTCCGTTCTAACCATCCCTTCAGATATTTCTTTCCTTCCAAATAGTCTTCCTTACTTCCCTTTCCACTTCTCCATCTTCTGTACTTTCTTTTCACCTCCCTCTTCTTTCTGGTGCAGCTCCTATCCCACCAGTCTTTGTGCCCTATTTTCCTTCTCTTCTTTATCTTGACTTCTTTATAAACTAAGGCTCCAAGGATCCAGTTTTTTATTTTCTCCCATTTCCTCTCCACCGACTCTATTTCCTGGTCCTCGTTTTCATTCCATACCTCCGTCCTCTCCCTGTATAATTTCTTTGCCTCTTCGTTCCAACATATGATCTTCTTTTTCTGATCCTTTTCTTCCTCTTCTGACCACCCCTCTCTTTGTCTCGTGTTCTCCTCTTCCTCTAGTAACAAGGTCTGAGGCAAATGATCTGAGTCCACCCTGTCCCCTATTCTAAATTCCAACACTCGTTCTTGCGCACTATCGTTTACAATTGTATAATCAATTACTGAGCACCCTCTCGCCCCCACATACGTATATTCCCCATCCCAATCCCCTTCTGTACATCCATTCAAAAAATACCATCCTTTTTCATTTATCATATCCACTAAGCTTCTACCACCTTCTCCTATGACTTTATCTTTGCTCACCTTTTCAAAGTCATACTCTTCCTCCCTACACCCTCCTAGGTTTCCTATTCTAATATTAAAATCGCCTCCTATAATAATATCCTCTCCTTCGCATCCTTCGCATTGCTCTATTATTTTCGCCATTATCACTTCCACGTCTTTCTTTGCTCCTACATTATATACTGTAAAAATATTTAGCCCTTTATCCTCTTTTACTATTCTCGTTCGCGCAATACTTTCTGTAATCCTTACACTTTTATTTTTCTCCGTTTCTGACCCCCAATCTTTTCTAATGCCTATCAGTAATCCTCCCTTCGCCCTACCCTTCCTCCTTTCCCTTACAGCGTTAATATTTTCCCAGCTGTGCGTTTCCGGCAGTCTACTCCTAATTCTATCCCATCCCTTTTCCTCTAACCATGTTTCACATAATCCTATATAATCGAAGTCTACTATATAATTCCAAAAATCTTTGTCCTTCCTCTCAATGCCCGCAACATTCCAAAAAATTATCTTTCGCCCATTTTCTTTCTTCATCTGCTCCACTTTTCCTACCTCCATTCGTGTAGTTCGCCTGTTGTCATCTTGAAAGCCATAACTTGCTGGTTCTCTTCTCCTGTCTTGGCAGCCATCTAGAAATTTTCCTTTTCTATTAACTTATTTTCTTCCTCACTCCATACATACTTCCTACCTTGTACCTCTAGCTTCCTATAACCTATTTTCACCCTCTTTCCTTCTGTTTTTTCTTTCCGTGCCATTTCTTTTATCCGTCTTTGCACCTCTCTGTCCTCAAAGGTCATGTCGTGGTCTATGAAAATTTTCTTGCTTCCCAGCTTCTTCTTCTCCTTCATGATACTATCCTTCGATTCCCAGCAGTCCATTTCAGCTATTATCAACTCTCTCCCTTCTTTGCCTATTGAACGCATCTTCTTTACTCCCACTCTTGCACCAAACTCCCTCTCCAGAAACGTCTCCGCTGTGTCCATTAGGCTCTTGTTTTCCTCTTTATGTAATCCTCTGATCACCAGGTTATTTTTCTTTTCCTTCCTTTCCTTCATATTTCTTTCTCTCTTCCGAACCATCTCCGCCACCTTTCCCACAATCTCCTCCGTTTTGCCGCCGATCGCCTCATCCGTCGTGTTTTCCCTCCTTCGTTCGATCTTCGCTAGTCTCCCTTCTATCTTATCCATCCTTTCCTCTATCTTTTCTTCCTTCTTTCTCCTTCCCTCCTCTAAAACGCACATCCTCTCTCTCATCTCTCTCATCTCGCCCCTCAGGTCCCTCATCTTTTCTCTAATCTCTCTCAGTATTGCTACTAACGAACCGTCCTGTTCATCATTCTTTGTTACCGGCAGGTCTCCCTCCTCTTCTTACCTGCAGCACCGACTCTTTCTTTCGGTTTGTTTAGTCCTGGTGGCGTTCTCACAGTCTTATTATCTCTCTTAAAAATTCCCTTCACAAGTTGTTCTTTTTCCTCTCTTTTCCTCTTAGCTTTCGCTAACTCACATGCCGTGCTGTTGTCACTTGTCATAAACTCCAATATGCTGGACGAGCTCGATCTTTCTCTCATTCTTAACTCCTCCTTTGTAGGTCTTCCTTTTCCTCTCTTTTCTTCTTTTGGAGTGTCAAGTATTTCTTTGCCCGTTTTCTCCCTGCTTGGGCTATCCAAAGTTGTAGCCGGATTCCCATCTTTATTCCTTATTGCTGCCTTCTCCCTCTCGCCTGCCTCTCCATCCATCCTGTCCGTCGCTCATTCGCGTACTCCTTCTAAACAATCTCCTTAACCGCTGCCTATTTGTCTGGACTGTCCCGTCTAGTGTCGGTACCTACTCTATGCGTGACGCAGATCTCGCTACCTTTTGGAACGCACAGCGTTATTCTCCCGCCTTCTCTCACCTAACCTCTCATTCTCTCTACCACCTTTAGCGCTCTTTTCCTTCACTAATTAATATTTCCTTGCTACGTCTATTATCCTATCCTAAATTTTAGTTCTTCTTCCTACCTTCCTATCGGTTTAACGCTTTCTCGCCTCCTATTTCCCCTTACACTCTCGTCTAATTTATCCGCAACACTCACACGCATGCACAACACACACGCTCCACTAACCAATTTTAGGTAAGTATTGGACAGTTTACTCTAAATCTCTTAAATATAACAGATTATTATTAATTACTAACAGGGATTTTTCTTGAAAATAATTTATTATTACCACATCATCCACAGAAAAAAATCGAGTTCCGTAACATTTCTTCAAATTTGTCTACTGCTTCCAAATTTGTCAATGGTAAATGATTATTTATCGAAATTTCTTTGGATGTTTCAATATTGCAGACTTGCTGTTTTCTATTTAATTCGCAATCTATCTCCCTGATGTAATGTTTCTGAATATTGCGTAAATCTACTTGTAATCTATTTAATTTTTTCAGTATTAAGTCAGTTGACTCTGAAATAAAAATATTAATATTTCGTTATATACATACGTCGCCTGCATACTCGTACAAAATGATCGAAGCATATGAATATGTGTGTTCTTACGACACATGTAATCCAGCTTCTCGTCTGCATTAAAAAATTTTTGCTGCGGGATATTCTTCTCCGATGCACTGGAATTACCGAAAATCCTGCTATCTTCATTTGTCATCCGTATTCCACCAGTTTCATCTATATTTACATATAAAATTAACGATTAAAACCGTAACAATCGTGAGTGCTTTATTAAATTTTATTAAACATTTCATAAAGCATATTATCGGAGAGGGGG